GTTCACCGATGATTGCACAATGTTCAGCACCATTCGTGACTCCTCAGATACTGAAGCAGTCTGTGTTCACATGCAACAAGATCTGGGCAATATCCAGGCCTGGGCCAACGAGTAGCAAGTGACATTCGTGCCACACAAATGCCAGGCTATGACCATCACCAATAACAGACAATCTAACCACTGTCTCTTAACATTCAATGGTGTTACCATCACTGAATCCCCCCTATCAACATCCTGGGGGTTACCATTGACCAGAAACTCAACTGGACTCACCACATTAACACAGTGGCTACAAGAGCAGGCCAGAAGCTGGGAATACTGCAGCGAGTAACTCATCTCCTGGCTCCTCAAAGCCTGTCTACCATCTACAAGGCACAAGTCAGGAGTGTGATGGAATACTCCCCACTTGCCTGGATGAGTGCAGCCCCAACAACACTCAACAAGTTTGACACCATCCAGGACAAAGCAGCCTGCTTGATTGGCACTACATCCACAAACGTTCACTCCCTCCACCACTGATGCTCAGTAGCAGCAGTGTGTACTATCTACAAGATGCACTGCAGAAATTCACCAAAGATCCTCAGACAGCACCCTCCAAACCCATGACCACTTCCATCGAGATGGACAAGGGCATCGGATACAAGCGAACACCACCCCCTGCAAGTTCCCCTCCAAGCCACTCACTATCCTGACTTGGAAATATTTCAATGTTCCTTCTCGTCGCTGGGTCAAAATCCTGGAATTCCCTCCCTAATGACATTGTGGGTCAACCCACAGCTGGAGGACTGCAGCGGTTCAAGAGGGCAGCTCACCACCTCCTTCTCAAGGGGCAACTAGGAATGGGCAATAAATGCTGGACCAGCCAGCAACGCCCACATCCCACAAATGGAAAAAAAAAAGCTCCTTCGGAATCCGAAATGTTATTGAGCCACTTTGTAATCATCAGCGAACATGCCCACTTTTGACCTCATGAAAGGAGCTAAAGGTGGTTGGGCCTGCAACATCACCCTGCGAAATTCCTGAAGCATTGTGCAGTGGCTGAAGTAATTGACCTCCAACAACCACAAATACCTCCCTTAATGCTACTTCTGTCTTTGACCAGAGGAGTATTTGATGCCTGATGTCTGTTGATCTCAGTTTTGCTAGGGCTCCTTGATGCCACACTTGGTCGAATGCAGCCTTGATATCAAGGGCTGTCAGTCTCACCTCACCCTCTGGAATTCAGCTCTTTTGTCCATGTTTGAACCAAGGCTGTAATGAGGTCAGGAGCTGAGTGGCCCTGGTGGAACCCAAACTGGGCGTCACTGAGCAGGTTATTGCTGAGCAGGTGCTGTGTGATAGCACTGGTACTGACACCTTCTATCACTTTCCTGATGATCGAAAGGAGACTGATGGGGCAGGAACTGGCCAGGTTGGATTTGTCCTGCTTTTTGTGCACGGGACATACTTGGGCAATTTTCCACCTTGTTGGGTAGATGCCAGGATTGGAACTGTACTGGAACAAATTAATTAGGGGCTTGCAAGTGCTGGAGCATCAGTCTTCAATATCACTGATGGGGCATTAATGTGCCCACAAATCTGCGGAATAATATGGCTTTAGCCTTTTCTTGATACCACGTGGAGTGAATTGAATTGGCTGAAGACTGGTATCTGTAATGCTGGGGACCACTGGAGGAGGCTGAGATGGATCATCCACTCGGCACTTCTGGCTGAAGATTGCTGCGAATGCTTCAGCTTTATTTTTTGCATATCTTTTGGTGGTCCTGCAGAGTGTTTGATACACACAGTGCATGGGAAGGGTCAAGGGGTCCCCATTCAGGAGTTGATGATTGGGAGCACACTGCCTACCCAGCTTATTATTTATCTGTGTACTCAGTCTCCAGGGGTTTCTATTTATTTAGTAATTGCTCGGACTGATCTGTGGAGCTATGTATTGGTATGTACCTGAGAAACATGCTGCAACTAGATTTTAGATTCAGGATTAGGTTTTATTGTCATGTGTACTCAAGTACAGGGATACAGGAGAACACTGAAAAGTGTCCAAAGTTGCTATTGCTGGCACCATTTGGGTACAAATGTACCTGGATACAAAATCTTAGGTACAAAGTAGAAAAATAAGGAAATGTAGTTCAAAGTTCAACAGTTAAAAGTGCTTAGCCATGATGGGCTCGCAGTCACCACAAGCGCTTGATCTCCCACTGCACTGGGCTCGATCTCCCCCACCCCCAGCACTGGGCTTGATCTACCCCCCAACCCCACCCCGCAACCCCCACCGCACTGGGCTCAATCCCCACCCCCCACCCTCCGCACTGGGCTCGATCTCCCCATGTTCATTGCCACCACAGATGCAGGGGACCTCCAGCACTACCACACTGGGCCCACTTTCCTCTGTGTTGGACGCTCTCTGTCTGTCTCTCTCCCCCACGTTGGGCTCGGGTAGGAGCCTGCATTCTGCACTGCTACCACACTGGCAGGGAGAGAGTTAACTTAAAAGGAGGAGAGAACAATAGATCAATGGAGAGAGAGGTCAGGAGAGTAAGACCTGGAGAGACAATGAAAGGATGAGAGGCAGGGACAAATGTAGATACAGACACATACACAGAAGTATGTACATACACAGAAGTATGTACATACATAGACATTGACAGACACACATTAATACACACGTACACACAAACAATAATACAGACATACACACAGATATACACAGACACACACAAATACACATACCTGTTCACATATAGACACATACAGATACAAAGATGCAGACACATACAAATACACACACACAGGCACAACCAAACAGAGACACGCAGACACACACACACATATATGCAGACAGACTCACACATACACAGATACACACAGACAGACACACAGATACACACAGACAGACACACACACACACGCAGTTACACAGACACACACACACACAGATACACGCAATGTGCTCTATTAGCGCTTGTTCATGGCTCTCACAGCTCTCACAAACACACCACTGTCTTCAGGTCACAACAACCACAAGTGTACTTTGCCACACAATTTGATGCATCTGAGGAACATTTCCCTCTTGCGGTTTTGGCAATTGTATCTGAGAGAGTCGAATCTTTCCACAGCAGCCCCCGCCCCACACAACCACCTCCCCCCCCCACCACCGCTGTAATGACACAGCCACCCACACACACCCCATCTGAGAAACAAACAGTGTCAATGCAAACTGCTTAAACCTCAGGCTCTACACAGGAAAGGTAGAGGGACCTGAACACACTCAGTGTGTGTTCCTCATCATTTATTCAATCAGTAATCAGCCTTTCTAACTGCTAATTATTTTAAATTGTACTAATACATGTTTTCAACCATGGTTTTGGCCTCTGACCCTGTTGGATTCTTGGCACAGTGAAGTCCACGCGAGCATGCAAAAATATAGCCAACAAAACCATTGACGGACAGAATATACACTAAAATCAAGAATGCGCGTATTATTTAGGGTTAAAGCAGGCCATTTAGCTCATTGAGTCCCTTTTACCATTTCACTGGACCTCCCAATCCTTTCTGTTGTTGGAGATCTGATTGCTTCCTCTACATATTTAATTTGTCGTTTTTTTTCTCACAATGTTGTCCTCTCACTACCTCCTGTCTAATCTCCCCTCCCTACTTGTAAGTTCCTCCTAGTTAATGTGTTGCCCAAATCTTTTGAATCTCTCAGCAACTGATTTGCACCCGACAGCTGCCATTTTGACATTGTTATTATTCGTAACACAGTGCAGTTTGCAGGTAAGCATCCTCCATCAACGAATAAAGCTTTACAATTTTATTATTGTGAAAATAAAGCATCCCCATTTTCAATGCTTCAGAATGATACTGGCTCAAAGGATTAAGTTATGAGGACAGCTTTTTGAAGATTATATTTTCTTGCCTTTGAACGTCTGGGGATCAAGGACCTAACCAAAATGTTCAAGATTATAAAGGTGATGTGGGTTTTGCCTCCTGTAGAGTATCTTTGTCTGATGCAACAATTCTTATCCCTCATAACGTAAGAAACTAGGATGCGGTTTGGAAGATCCAACAGGTGTTACTTACGGCTCACTGATATATCCAAATCCTGCATTCACAGGTACAATCTGTGTCTGGGCTAACGTTAACCTATTCGGCTACAAACAACTGTATGCCACACTTCAAGTTAAGTTGAAATATGTGATCTTTATACCCTCAGGTATAATCTGAGAAGTTGATTTTACCATGAGCATTTCTTTCGAAGGCATACTTCATTCGAGGGGACGCATTGGCCTAGCGGTATTATCGCTGGACTGTTAATCCAGATGATATTCTGGGGACTTGGTTCAAATCCCGCCATGGCAGATGGTGGAATTTGAATTCAATAAAATATCTGGAATTAAGAATCTAACGATGACCGTGAATCCATTGTCAATTGTTGGAAAAACCCACCTGGCTCACTAATGTCCTTTAGGGAAGGAAACTGCCATCCTCACCTGGTCTGGCCTACATGTGACTCCAGACCCACAGCAATGTGGTTGAATCTGAACTGCCCTCTGGGTAATTAGGGATGGACAATAAATGCTGCCGAGCCAGAGATGTCCTCATCCCATTAATGAATACAAAAAAAAACTGACATACTAATTGTAAAACAGAACACAACATCCCCCTTTTTTCCTAAGATAGAAAATTATGTGAAACAGTTGTATACCATGGTACATAGTTATGTGTTGTCAATTATGCAAACAGGTGAAACAGGGTTTACAAGGTTTAAGGTAAGGGTTTAGAAGAGATGTAAGGAAAAAGGTTTTAATCCAGAGGGTGGTGGGAATCTAGAAGTCATTGCCTGTAAGGGTGGTAGAGGCACATACCCTCCTAACATTTGAGATGTTACTTATGCCAAGAGGCTATGGGCCAAGCTCTGGAAAGTGCCATTGGAATAGTTAGGTGGTTGGTTTTGATTAGTATGGACACAATGAGCTGAAGGGTCTTTTTCTGCGCTGTAGGTCTCCTCAGCTTTATGAATCTAAGATGAGCGACTCAAACTTCAATGTAATTTGCTGGAGGTTTGACTTATCCTGATCTGGTGGTCGTATACTTATTGGGAAAGGTACGTGTTGGTTTCAGTTGGGCTTAGTTCACAAAAGTGTTGTCTTCCTCACTCAACATTCCCACACAATCGTAATGGTCAGAATTTTCCTCCTCTGTCTCTGTGCAAGATTGCAAAGGGGCACCTCAGACCTGTGGAGCACCATCATCAGCAATGACCTTGCATGGTTTTGGCAGCTTGTGTTTGCTGGAATCGAAGCATTTGTATTTTTGATTTCGAACTGGTAACGTCTGCACAGTTTTCATCCCTGCCTGTTCATCATATGCATCTCTTCCGATCTCTTCTGGCTTCGAAGAAGCAGTGTTCTATGTCTCAGACTAGTTAAACAATTGGCTGCTGGGCAAGATCATTCAAACTTGCTTTTGTGCTGGCGATGGTAACCCTCCGCCATTGGTGTTGCATGAAAACACAGCAATGTAACCTGAAAATCTTGCTTTGTTGCTTGGCACTTCATGCTCCTTCATTTGATAATACGAACCATATGATCTGCCAGACCGTTTGGGCATGGATAGAGGTGTAAGGATATGATATGCTTCATTGCCCACACAGTACAAATGTCTTGAAACAGTTGGACAGTGAACTGTGGTCCTCTGTTCTGGAACACTGAATAAACTCCTGATATCACCAACAGTCACATTCATTCTGTTGCCAAGTGGTCGAACAACGGGAAATGTGGAGATGTAATCTGTCACAGGGATGGAATCTTCCCTGTGCATGTGGGACCTTCCCCGTGCATTGTGGGTGTGTTGCCACCTTCATCCAAGGAGAGGATGTAACATGGAGATAGCAAGAACTGCCGATGCTGGAGTCAGAGATAACGCCATGTGGAGATGGAGGAACACAGCAGGCCAGGTAGCATCAGAGGACCAGGAAAGTTAACATTTTGAGTCAGAACCCTTCTTCAGAATCTCCTCCCCCAGCCTCATCCCAAGTCCAATCCTCCCTCTCAACCCCACCTCCATGACCTGACACGACCTGTCTATCTTCTTCCCCATCTATCCGCCCCTCCCATCTCACTGACCAATCCCCACTACTCCCTTACTGCACACACCTATCACCATCCCACCTGCTTTCCCCAGCCCCACCCCTCCTCTCTCTATTTATTTCAGAGCTCCCTTCCCCTCCCCCATTTCTGAAGATGGGTCTAGGCCCGAAACGTCAGCTTTCCTGCTCCTCTGATGCTGCCTGGCCTGCTGTGTTCATCCAGCTCTACACTGTGTTGAGGATGTAACATGGCCTGGATGGAGACTCTCCCTCTGTTGGCCCTTTGATACCATTGAACTGTCTCCCACACAGTCACGAATCATTGAACATCCTGATCACACCAGGTCCATGGCTCAGGTTCAAGGTGCCAACTGTCTCCTACATTCAAATCCCACCTGTCCCTGATGTAACATGGATGTGATATCTTGGTGCAATGTTTCTGGGATTAGAAAGAGAAAACAGTTTGTACCAAGTATTTCCCTGTTTGGCCAAAATGAACAAATCTTCTCCAGTATTTCTTTAACACTATCAGGTCATCCCTGGATAGTCAGTGTCTCTTGTAGACACTCATCTTCAGTAGCTGCTGGTTGTAACTGTTCACACTGGCTCTGGCCAGACTGTAATTGATTATCCTTGGCTGTGTTTTCAACTACAATTGATTCATAGAATCCCCACAGTGGGGATACAGGTCATTTAGTCTATTGGCTCCATGCCAACCTTCTGGGAAGGATCCCACCAATCCCTATAACCCTGCATTTCCCATGGCTAATCCACCCATCTTTGGACTGTGGGAGGAAACAAGATCAAGCTCACACAGAGAACATGCAAACTCCACACAGACAGTTGCCCAAGGCTGGGATCGAACCTGGGTCTCCTGGCATTATAAGGCAGCAGTGCTAACCACTGAGCCACCATACTGCCCAATTCAATTGCATTCAGTTACATTACTTGTCGACTCTTCCACTTCAGTGAGTGTGGGTTGAATCACATGAATTGTAATTACAGCCATGTGTGAGCACAGTGTGATTCTGTCTCTGCCAGTCTGTTGGTATCTTTCAAGTAGATGCATTTTAGAACCCAAGACAAGCTTGTCCTGTAAGATTCTGGCACTGGAGTTGATGTTCGGTTATAGTCTGTGATTTGTCTCTCGTAGACTATACCATGAAGCCTCACTTGCTGAGGCACATATCTTTCAGGATACATCATGGTAATACGTTGGCAGTGGCTCCTCTTTTTAGGATAATTATGTTTCTGGTTGCTTTATATTGTCTACATAGTGTTGGAGATTAACAAATGGAAAGCGTGGTCATCTTGTGAAATTTGCCTTTCACTTGGTTGACTTGAAATCTCATGGATGTGTTTGCATTCCTGCACTTTCCTTGCTGCCAGCATTGTATTACACTGACTTGTTGGTTATCTGTATTTTGGTCTGGGTCTGGCTTGGCTTTTGGGAGCAGAACTTAGGGTAAAAGTTCAGCACAACATCATGGGCCAAAGGGCCTGTACTGTGCTGTACTGTTCTATGTGCTATGTTCTAGAATCCAGCATATGTGTGCTCAAAGTCCTTTGATGACACATGCTTTAGAAATATTAGAAAAGTTGGCAGCTTTTTGGGTAGGTGTAATAAAATGCATCTTTTGGTTTGGTGTACTTTTCTGACTTATAGACTCTTCTGGCTTGTCACTATGGCTTCATATTTACACCCAACATCAAAAATGGTGTCAATAGCATGGCCCTTTCTCTCGACCACCTTCCTAAAGACTTTAATCAGTACAGAGGCAATTGCTAATTTGATGAAACTCTCTGAAAGTTCCTCTTCAAAAATATCAGACTTCTTGCCCCCTTCACTATCTACTGACAAATGGATCAATAAACTCTTGGGGTTCCTGTCTATATGACATGAGTCTGCTAATCCTGAAGTTAATTACTCATTTGAAGTTAGTTTAAGTAGTAGTAAAGTTAGTAACTCATTTAAATTATCAAGTTATTGCTTTGGAACTTCTTTTTAAATGAATTTTTTTAACCCACAGCAGGAGGACTGCAGCGGTTCAAGAAGGCAGCTCACCACCACCTTCTCAAGGGGCAACAAGGGATGAGCAAGAAATGCTGGCCCAGGCAGCGACGCCCACATCCCACAAATGAATACATGAAGAAATCTTATCTTAAACTGGTCCATAAGGACTTTCCAGATCTTTTCTGGATCTTTTGATTAGCATGGAGAGGCCGGATACATTAATCCTGTGAAGATATTTGCTTTCTTTTTAAGAAGTAGAATGTGCTCCAATATTTGTTTATTCCTATTATTAGTTATGCTTCTCTCTTATTTTTGTTTTCCTGTCTGCTTCTGTTTCCCTGTATTTTCCTTGTTGCCATCCTTTTACTCTATTTGGTCCCTTTCAATGTGTTGTTTTAAGACTGTTGCCCGATTAAAGTGGAACGCTTGTAGCTACAGGTCCCAGTGTCTGTATGGTATTGTACCAAATGTGGGGTGATGGTGTCATGCAGACTTCCTTCCACTTTGATGTTGATTTACAGAAATAAAATATCAAAACTAACCAACTTTTGGACATTGGTAAGCCTTCTAGTGTAGAAATCTATTGTAAATGTTTTAAAAGCCGTATTTTAAGCGGTTATGAGTAGTTGTGTTTTTTTTATTTAACTATTTAGATTCTTTTTAAAGAGAGGCAGATCTTCTAACATGAAAGAGTATTGTGAAAAAGCGAATAGCTCTTTCTTCTGCCTGATCAATGCTCTATTTACAGATCAGTGCAAAGAATAGTTGATGCTGCTGATTGTTTAATTCTTTGATGAGCAGTTGATCTTCAATGAGATTTCAAAATAGCAACCATTGAGATCTTAGACTCCTTTTATAGACATCCACCACTGCTAAACACATTACACAGATCCTGTCCTGCCATCCCAATCATGGGGGAAGTCTATGAGAAATTGTGTGAGGGAAGCCAGCAGTTTGATCACTCACATCATTAATAGTTCTCCTTATCATCTCTCCAGAGCAGTATCTGTTCATGATTATTGGAAATAACAAAGAGCATTGCGTACTCCCAGCAATCACATCACTGGTCAAGATGGTGATATCTCATCAATTTGACCAGTCAAACAGCTTTGTATCTTGAAAGATTAAGATCTAACATTGCAGACTCCTTCATAGGGCTGACTTTGACCAGAAGTTGGCAGTGTCATTCCCATGGATATTACAAAGGATTTCTCTCTCTTGATTCTTTGCCAGTTTCCCTGCACAATCATCCTAAACTCCCCTATTAACCAGGCCACTGGGCTGCCCCTCTCATCCAATACCAGCCCAATTCCCCTACTCACCATAGCCAGAGGTACTTGGTACTCCAGGAATATCCTAGGATACTTGGCATCGGTGCCATCTGCAAAAGCCCAATGCACACCAATGCCAGAGATAGTAGGAACTGCAGATGCTGGAGAATCTGAGACAACAAGGTGTAGAGCTGGATGAACACAGCAGGCCAAGCAGCATCAGAGGAGCAGGAAGGCTGACGTTTCGGGCCTAGACCCTTCATCAGAATTGAAGACATTTGCCCCAGGTATGATAAACAAGTGGAAATTGCCACTGCCCTTAGTTGGGAGGCACCTGAGGGTCCTAGTGGATGGGGTGATGCAGCGGAGGGCATTTCTCTTCCTCCCAGAACTGCCCATTCCCCTTGATGCCTTTAAAATCTAAAAATCTATATAATCTATAAAAAAGATATTCAGTGACTTGACCTCCGTAGTGGTCTGTGTGGAGAATTCCACAGGTTCACTACCCCCTGAGTGAAGAATTCTTTCCTCATCTCCGTCCGAAACAATCTACCCCATATCCTGAGGTTGTCCTCCCGGTTCTAAACTCCCACATCAGGGGAAACATCCTCCCTGCATCTAGTCTGTATGACCTGGTTAGAATTTCATACATTTCATCTGAATAAACTCTAGTCAATAAAGGTTCAGTCAAACCAATGTCTCCTCATGGGACAGCCCTGCCATCCCTGGTAACAGCCAAGTGAACCTCCACTGCATTCCCCTCTATGACAAGTATATCGTCTCTGAGGTAGGGAGACCATAACTGCACACAGTATTCCACTTGTGGTCTCACCAAGGCCACATACGTTGAATCGAATTGGCTGAAGACTGGTATCTGTAATACTGGGGACCACGGGAGGAGACTGAGATGGATCATCCACTCGGCACTTCTGGCTGAAGATTGCTGTGAAAGCTTCAGCCTTATCTTCTGCACTGATGTGCTGGGCTCTTCCATCATTGAGGATGGGGATATTTGTGGAGCCTCCTCCTCCAGTGAGTTGTTTAATTGTCCACCACCATTCATGACTGGATGTGGCAGGACTGCAGAGCTTAGATCTGATCCGTTGGTTGTGGAATTGATTAGCTCTGTCTATCACTTGCTGCTTTATGCTGTTTGGCGTGCAAGTCATCCCGTTTTTTGGCATCACCAGATTGTCACCTCATTTTTAGGTATGCCTGGTGCTGCCCCTGGCATGGCATTCTGCACTCTCCATTGAACCAGGGTAGAACCCTGCTTTGATGGTCATGGTAGGGTGGGGGATATGCCAGGGCCATGAAGTTGCAGGTTGTGTTGGAGTACAATTCTGCTACTGCTATTTCTGATGACACCTCCTGAATGCATCTGCTTCAGTAACTTGTTGAAATTTCTCAACAAGTTGGGCCACACAAAGAAAGAAGATGCAAACTCTTGTTTTCTTTTGCTGTTTCTGATGAAGCTCGGTGAGTGATCCATTTGCTGAACAAAGTTAATGTGATTCTTTGCGATCAGCCTGTGACTAATTCTCCTGACTCATCACTGTTGTCATGGCAGTCATTCTGTTTCTCAACCAGACTGTTCCTCATTTCCCTAGGTAGACACTTTGAGACGTCTGTCTCAAAGCTGCTTTCAGGCTGAGGATAATTTGTTTGCTTATACTTTGTCTTTGCTTCCTGGAATTGCGAGTTCTGAGTATTCAGGCCAACATTCAAGTTGAGATGTTGACTAAATGGTAATTATTTATCTGGAGGCTATCAAAGCATGGCTCACTTACCACAATGGCAGTGTTTATCGTACAACATGATCTGGCTCACTAATGTCCTTCAGGGAAGGAAATCTGCTGTGCTTACCCTGTCTGGCCTACATGTGACTCCAGACCCACAGCAATGAGGCTGACAGTTTACTGCTCTCTGAAATACCACTCAATTCAAGGGCACCTCAAGCCAGACAATAACTGCTGGACTTACTAGTGATGTCCAAGTCCCAAGAAAGAAGAAAGTAAAGAACTAGTACTGGTAGATGTTTATCACTGGACCCTATGGAGTGAATTGTCTGGTGTAAGGTTAGTCCATGAGCATTTAAATAAACACACACACACACACACACACACACACACACACACACACACACACGCAACACATACAGACACACACAGGCAGACACACATATAGACATACACACACACAAAGACATACACACAAGCACGTGCCCACAACACTCACACACACACATGCACACACACACACGCACACACACACACGCACACAGGCACACACAGACAGACAGACACACACACACTCACACACACACACACACAAACACATACTCACATGCAGACACACGCACAATCACAAACACTGGCACACACATACGCACATGCAATCAAACACACACAAAGACACACACACAAACACATGCCCACAACATACACACACACATACACAGACACACATAAAAACACACACAGACACACACGCACCCACACACATTCACACATACACACACACAAACACACACACATACACACACACATACACATAAACACACACACAAACACACACACACACACTCACACAGACGCACACACATACACACACACTCACACACACACACGTACACATAAACACACACACATACACACACACACACACACATACACATAAACACACACACAAACACACACACACACACACACACACACATACACATAAACACACACACATTCACACACACATACACATACACACACATGCAGACACATGCACAAACACAAACACATGCCCATAACATGCACCCACACACACATATGCACACAAACACGTACACACACATACACACATGCCCACAAAATACACCCGCAAACACACAAACACATGCACACAAGAACACCCAAACCCACATACACATGCACACACGAGAACACCCAAAACACAAACATACACACACTCACGCACATGCATGAACACACAGCTACAATCATGTGCATGAACATAGGCAGCTACAAACACATACATACCAATGAACATGCACACACATGACACATGTACCCACACACCCACAAACACACACATATGAGCACAGACACACACAAAGGATAAACACACACTGACAATAGGGGTGTAACAGTGGCTCAGTAGCTAGCCCTGCTGCCTGACAGGGCTAAGGACCCGGGTTCAATTCCACCCTCGGGCAACTGTCTGTGTGGAGTTTGCACATTCTCCCAGTGTCTGCGTGGGTTTCCTCCCACAGTCCAAAGGTGTGCAGATTGGCCATGGGAAATGCAGGGTTACAGGGATGGGGTGGGTCTGGATAGGATGCTGTTCAGAGGGTCAGTGTGAGCTTGATGGGCTGAATGGCCTGCTTCCACACTGTAGGGATTCTGTGACACATGAACACATACTGTTTCAAACCCCACCCAGCACATGTGTATTGTTCTACAATACTCATACCTATATTTGAAGGTGCACCTATAAATGTGGCACATGATATTTACATATTCCAGGTGGGAGAAAGAGGTGAAGAGGAAAATGCAGAAGGGAGAAATGAAGGGAAGGCGAGTTGGCATAATGTATGTTTATTTTACGAAGCACAGTCATAAATGAGTAACAAAGTAACAATAGCAGTTGAAACCGGAGACAACTGCTGAGGTTGACAGGGACAGCTTGGTTCTGTCAACATTTCCACTTCCATTTGCCAGTCTGTCAATTTACCGCGATCTCACAGAGTGAATTGAAACGTTATATACTGCAAAGTGACAGCTCAGTGGATTTGTTGCTGTCATATATGTCTGTGCAGTGTGGTTAAAATAGAAGCCACCGCTCCTGTCCAACAAAGTGGATGAGATGAGGCTGCTGAGACTTCTCTCAACAGTAACAAGATCTCTCTCTCTCTCAAACCCCTTCACTTCTCCTGTTTACTCACTTTTTATAATTCTATTCCCTTCTTCTGCTGGATGGAGTGAACCATTGGTCTATCACCCAATAATTCTCCCCTCTGCAAAATCTCTTTACAGGACTGTAATCATAATTGCCTTTCATTAGTTGTTGGCGTGTTCCTGTCAACTGTTCCTCTTTGTTTTTGGCCAGCCCTGATAATGGTAAGTCATCCTAAACTTCTTCAGTTTTTGCCAATTCAAACCTGCTGGGCAATTGACGATGGCTAAAAGGTTTGTGGGCTTTCATTTCCAATGGAGAGATATGGATTTAACTTTCAG